TATCTTTTGATAGCCAGGCACCATCAGCTTTCTTCACCACATTTGCTTATTCACCTGCTTTGTCTTCAGTGGTTGTGTCGGGAAGGTGAGCATCATCGAATGCCAATTTATTTATTTATTTTTTTTTATTTCGAATGCCAATTTAATAGAAGAAAATATTCTTGCATGGAGGGAGTACCTGAGTGGAGGCCCAATGTCCTTCTGCTACCTTAATACTAAACCCATAAATATATGCACAGTGATCTATTTCCCCATCCTCATATAAAAATATATTTGCATATGTACATGCCTCTATTTAGACCTCTATAAATGCCCTTTTCCTCCTAGCTCTTTCCTCTATTTCCTCTGACTTTCCTCTTGTCCCACTATCATGCTCAATCTTCATTTGAGTTTACGCAATTCCTCTTGGTTACATTACCCTCAATCCTGCCCTACCAGGCCTCCCACAATCTCGTCACCACCGATCCGGATCACTTGTTCCCTTGTCCCTGAGTTTCTTAACACCACTAACTTTACCACCACCTTCCCCTCTCCCATGTGCCCCCTGAACTGTTGGTCTTGTTGTTTTCCCCTCCCGATTATTCATCCAGCCTATCTTATTTAGACAGACCTGCGGAGATAATAACATGCACAAAAACAAGACAAAGGAAAACCAAGCAACAATATACAACAAAACAACAAACCAATGACCAAAAAAACACAACAAGAAAGAAAAGCTTGAAGTTAGTTTAAGGATTGTTTGTTGACCTTTAGGGGTGTTTTTCAGTCCAGTCTGTTGGGGCACCACGCCCTGGCCTCAAAGTCCACCTTCAGCATTCCCTGGGGACCTCGCCACTCCGTTCCCTTGCTCTTCTGTTGCACCCCCTCAGTGTTTTGCTTCAGTGTGGCAGGATCTGATCGGGCAAAATTCCCACACTGTGTCTCCAGTGTTGTCCCTTCTAGGGCTATGGGTCAGTGAGAAGTGTCATGTCTCATAGTGGGGCCGGCCATGTGGTCCTCTGTGGACTGGCTGCTCTAGTTGGGAACATCGTCCTCAAGGCCTGGTGGGCTAGGATGTGCTCCACTGTCTCCTCCTCCCCCTTCATCTGCTCCCGTGTGCTCCGATCAAATAAGTCCCTCTTCCGGAGCTGCAGATGCAATGACCTCCTTTGAAATAAATTCTTCTGGGGGGAGGAGCAGGCGTCCACATATTAGTTGGGATTGGGGCTGGCCCCCAGACCGCTCCACTGATTCCCTACTCCATGCCAGCATGTTGCATTCACATCTTGGAGCACTGGGTTGAAGTGTGGGCCCTCTTTTCCTATGGAGATATAAACAATACCCTCCCCTTGGGTGGGTTAGTGCCCTGTATCCCTGCTACCCATTTCTTTTATTATTATTATTATTTGTTTTTCCTTTCCCCACCTTTTTATTTGTCTACCATGTGTATCCCTGTATTTGGTCTGGGCCCTGCCATATTACCTGCTCCTCACCCCAGGAATGTTTGTATAAAGTAGCTTTTTCCCTATGCCCCTTTTGAATTTTTTTACACTTACCTAAGCAGACTCATGTTGTACTTGACCTTTTGTGCTTGACTTACTTCACTTAGCGGGATTTCCTCCGGTTCTTCCCATGCAGCGATGTGCTTCATACATTTCATCACTGCTTTTTAGCAATGCTTAGTACTCCATTTTATGTATATACCACAGCTTTTTAACCCAGTCATCTTTGTTGCCCTCTGGGTGAGGTTGTTCTATGTGGCGGTCTCTCATTTATGCTTGGTGAGTGTTGTTCTTCTGCCCATACTCGGTCAGCAAGGATCTTTTGTAGATATGGCTTTCTTCTAACGTATTCTTTGAGGTTTTCCTTGTCTGGGAAAACTTTTACTTCTCCATCTATCTTGATCGATAATTTGGCTGGGTAGAGTATTCTTGGGTTTGTGTTGTTTTCCTTCAAATTTTGGAATATGTTACTCCCCTCTGTCCTCTTCTTCATAGTTTCTGCTGATAGGTCTGAGCATATTCTTATTTGGGAACCTTTATATGTGATTGCTTGTTTTTCCCTAGCTGCTCTCATGATTTTCTCCTTTTCCTCAAAGTTGGATAATTTAACTATCATGTGCCTTGGTGACTTCTTGGGATTCAGTCTAGCTGGTGTTCTTTCAGCCTCCTGAATGGTTGCCTGGTTTTCATTCATTAAGCTGGGGAAGTTTTCCTTCAAGAGTTCTCTCACTATTGTTGCAGATGACTTCTTTGTTGTGTCTTCCTCCGGTATGCCAATAATTCTAATGTTGTTCCGCTTCATAGCATCAGACATAGCTCTTAGAATATCTTCAGCTTCTCTGATGATCTTATTAGATTCTTGTTCGCGTTCGCTGACGTCTGCTTGGCTGTCCTCCAAGTCACTGATGCGCTTCTCTGCTTCCTCCAGTCGATTCTCGAGGTCTGTGTTTCTGCTACTGGTTTTTGTTATCTCCTACCTAAGCTCCTGTATTTCCCTTTGGTGTATGGCCTTCATCTCCTCTTTCATTTCATCCTTCTTCCTGCAACAGCTTGGAATGTTGATGAGTGTTGGCAGAGCTACCTTAAGCCCCCAGGCACACAGGCAGGAATTCCCCAGTAAGATGTTGGGCAGAGTATCCCCTGGTGGAGTTCAACAGGGCTTTCCCCAGCCTTGGGCTAGCTGCATAGGGTGGAGCTCACGTTCCCTCTACTCTCATGGTATCGCTACTCTCATTATTGGTTCTGAGGGGTTTATCCTGGATTCGGTGTTGAGAGCTCTTATCTGTACCCGTGTACATGCTCTGGTCTAGCCAGATTTGTAAAATAGAACTGAGGTCATGATAGTAGAGTGGAGGAAGCATTAAAGAAATAGAGGAATGTTGTGTGTTTCGTCGGTGCTATACTGCACCCTGGTTGACTCGTCCCTTCTTTGTGACCCTTCTGTGAGGGATGTCCAATTTTCTACAGATGGGCTTTGGGTCTCCATTCCAACTTCCCTCATTCTCATCAAAATGGTTGCTTGTTTTGGATCTTCCAATGCCTGATACCTGATCCCAGTTGACATATCATGATCACACGGGTTGGTGTGCTTCTTCCATGTGAGCTTTGTTGCTTTCCTTATAGATGGCTGCTTGTTTAACTTCAAGCCTTCAA